AAATGGAAAGGAAGCTAACCTATCGATGGTGAAACCAAATAAGAGGCCAAGCTAGGAGGGGAGGGCTTAACTATTATATTTTTGTGAATGAGATAATGGGGTAATAAGCACACCTATATAGTAATCAATATGTCAACCAATTTCTTTAAATAGTAATCATTAAAAGAAATAATTAAATAGACTCCAATTATGTACTATAATCTCTGCATAACATAAATATTTAATTTAGCTTTTCTTTTCTTCTTTTTTTATTTTCTATAACCCTTTTAATAATTTAAAATTTAGGTAATTGTTCTATTTTTTTTAGTTATTAGCTAGACATTGATTTCCTTATTTTGAAACTTAAATTTTATCCAATCCTTTATTTATACAATTTTATGCAATATCGCTCTATCACAATCAACAAAACTTCTGTTATATGGGTGATTATTTAATGTAAAAATTTTTATTGCCCAACCACAACAACCTAGAAAGACATGTGCATAAATCCTTGAAAATGAAGTTCACATTCCAAGAGTAAATCTATACATGTGTGTCTTATTGGACAAAAGTTTCAATTCTTTCTTTAAGCAAACCTCAAGTAAATATCAACTAATGAAATATGATTTAATTTATGTAGAATATCTTACACATACAATGACCTGAGTGGCACTATGCAAGTGAATCTCCCGAATAAGGTCATTAAGTATTAGGAAATGGAAAACAGTAATTACTTCAAACAAACAAACAAACCAAACTCTACAATGGTACAACCTAAAAGATGCTTATGTTAAAGGTGAGAAAATAAAAAGATATATATACATTTGTATTGATCTTTTTTATCTCAGTCAGATATAGAATTGGCATTGAAAAATAATGCGTGTACAAGATAATTATCAACCCAAAACAAGGGTTGTTGAGGCATTTCAAGATGTGTTTCCTCATGTGCTCTTTGGCAAAATTTTGAAGCCAATATATGCAGCATAGCCACAAACTTGTATTTTCTGCAATGAGCGGCACTCTATAGTATGTAATTATTAGGGGCGTTTAGAGATTAAAATGGTAGAATAGTTTTTTTTTAATGTTAGTAGCTTTCAGTAGACAACCAAGGGTAATTTTGACATTTGTATCACTTGACATGTCAGGTTGGTCTAATATTCTTAGTACCACATTAGCTCAGTAGTATCCTTATTGTCCCCTAATGGTCCCCTATCACTTATTTATAAATATGAAGGTCCAAATACCATGAAGGTAACACATACCACTCCATATTTTCCCTATTACTTTCCTTTCGATCTCATTCTTTTTAATTTGTGCGTAGAAGTGCAAACACAGGAAACATTCGCTACTTTTGCCTCTAATTGCCCTTTTCTTCTATCTTTTTAGGAATACCCTTAGACTAGAGCTCGACATAAACATTTGGCAAGCCAAGTAGGGGACCTTTTTATTCACTGGCTGAGCATGAAACAATGTCACCAAGAAAGAGAACCTTAGAGAAAATAGAGATGATTGTCCTGACTAAAACAAAAGCCTATTATAGCCAACATTTCGTCTGACTTGCCCAACCATAAGCGAGACTGATCATGTAACAATTCCATGCATTATCAAACATATATAAGCTTTCAGGTAGATGTTACAAACTATAACTCCACTATAAGTTTCAAAAGTGCTTGACCTAATCATCTTTGATCAAAGAGCCACTATTAGATAACAAAACTATAAAAAGGTGAAAAACTCTTCGACCTCTAGAGAAGAGGAGCACAACACCCCTGTCATAATTCAACACATGTTACGACTTAAAAATCCAAACAAACAAACCCCGAACCCTAACCAAGCAAGGACTTGGAAGCTCGAATGCAAGCCATGAAAAAAGAGCTAAAAATGAAAGTAGTAGCTTTAGAGGATGAGCTCAAGTTCCTAGAGACCTTGCCTTTCATCAAAGAAATTGATAGAGCCATGCCACCTAAGGGGTTCAAAATTGTAACTTTGGAAACCTATGATGGTATTTTTGACCTTTTCAATCATGTACAACTTTATAGAACTAACATAATGATGTAGAGGGTAGACGAGATTCAAATGTACAAAGGCCTAGCTACCACACTAAAAGAAGTAGTTTGGTTTTGGTATAGTAGCCTGTAACCAAGGTCAATCATGACATTCAAAGAGCTTAGTCACTCTTTGTTGTATAAATTTATGAGTAGTCAAAAAGTGAAAAAAATGACTCTAAGTTTGATGTCAATCCACCAAGGATGGAATGAAACTTTAAAAAGCTATGTCACGCGGTTTAACTTGAAAGCTCTGTAAGTTAAAGATTTAGAACAAACAATCACAGTAGTTGCCTTAATAAGTGAACTCAATGACAAAGAGTACCACCTAAAGCTGACATTGTTGCTAGAACCACCTAAAACTCTAGTTGACACCTTGTTGATAGCTAAAAAATATGAAAATATTGAAGCTACAATGAAAAATAATTGAAGAGAGAAAGGTTCATCCCCTCTTATTGACCATTGAGTTGAGAATGGCTCATCCCTTTTATTCGATCATAAGAAAGGTGAGGATTTCTACTATCTTCCCTCAAGAAAGAGATAACATAAGGCTAGAAGCATAAATGAAGAAAGGAACTACATTGCACTAAATACATCCTAAGAAAGGATTTTGATGTAAATTTAGAAGAATCTCAACCTCAAATGGTCGAAGCCATTCAGATAAAACATGAAGAGGGATTCGATAAAAAAATATGCCTTTCATTGAGATATAGGCCACAATATTCAAAGATTGTGATGACCTAAAAAATAAAATTGAAGTTCTGATAAAAAGAGGTCAATAAAGGAGGTTTATAGAACAACAAAGATAAGACTAACCCAAAGTAAAATTTAGACAATATCGAAGAGAGCCCACTTGGGGTAGAAAAAATGCCAAAAAATGGAAAAAAATAGATCATGAAGATGAAATAAGGTAGGGAAAGGGCTAAATTGATATAATAGGTCGATCATCTGAGTGATTGATATAATCACCGAAGGTAGCTCCACCTCGTCCAAATAAAAGTTCAATCCAGGCATAGTTATGGTAGTAAGCACCTTGACAAAAGAAAAAAAGATTGAAAAGATGAGCCGATCTCATTCAACCTAAAAGATCTTGAAAGAACCCAGTACCTATATAATGATGCCATAATGATCATAATTGTAGTGTACAACTATGTAGTTAAGAAAATCCTATTTAATAATGGAAGTTCAATCGATATCTATGTTATAACAAGATGAAAAAAATGAAAATTGATGGGAATCTATTGCAATCGATTACCACAAACATTAGTAAGATTTGAAAATGAGTAAGGCCTATGAAAAGAATAATCAAACTATTGATCTTTTTAGGGATAAACTAAGAATAACCATCTCAGTTATAGAATTTATGGTGATGGACATCTCATCAACCTACAACATCATATTGGGTCAACCTAGCTAATATGTTATGTGATTTATAGGCTTAGCTCCCCATCTGAAAGTAAAATTCTCAACACCTAATAGGGTTAGAGATGTTAGAGATGACCAATCCATGGCACATCAATGTTATGCCACAATAATAAAATAGAGGACTAGGAAATAGACTGGTAGTTCAGCCAATAATATAGGCATTGAGGAAAAGCAAACAACGAAACCCAACAAGAGGCGAAAAACCACAAGCAAGAACACAGACGTAAGATTGACTTGATAGAAGTGTACTCCTAAGCTCTAACAAAAAAAAAGCTTTTGTTCTATTTTTAAAATTTTTTAAGGTAACCTGAAAGATGATGAAGCTATTAAGTCGATGTGAATTACATGTTATTTTGGACTGAGCTAGTAGATTAGACAACATATAGTATGGAACAAAAAATACATATCAATTTCACTATATACATATTTAGCAAGTTATCTATAATATAATGATTATCATGTCGAGATCTGGTTTCATATAAAATGATTTTGACCTAATTGAAAAAGAAAGATAATTTATCAAAGATCAAACTTAGATGAAAATTGACCTAAATCGGTGAAGATATCATAACAATTCCATTCTAGGATAACATTTCTAAAAAACATATGCAGATTGGAACTAACTTTAATATAAAGATCAATTAATTCAATTCCTAAAAGATAATATCGACATGTTCTCCTAGACACTATCTGATATGCTTGGTATTGATACTGAAGTGATGGTCCATAAGTTAAATACTAACCCTGAGGTACAATCAATCCAGCAAAAGAAGAAAACTTTTACCTAAAAAGATAAAGGGACATCAAGGAGGAAGTCGATAGATTATTACAAGCGGGCTTTATCAAGGTGGTTTACTATCATAAATGGATAGCCAATATGGTCATGGTCAAAAAACATAACATAAAATAAAGAATGTGCATCAACTTTATCAACCTGAACAAAGTATGCCTAAAAGATAGCTTTTATCTCCCTAGCATAGATCAGTTGATAGATGATAGTGCTAAGCATGGCTTTATTAATTTTATGAATGCCTATTCTAGTTACAACCAAATCAAAATGGTAAAAGACGATAAGGAAAAAATAACCTTCACTAATAAGAATAGCCTTTATTGCTATAAGGTGATACCTTTTGGACTAAAAAATATAAGGACGACCTATCAAGGGCTAGTAAATAAGCTATTTAAAAATCGAATCAACCGTAATATAGAAGTATATGTGGATGACATTATAGTCAAAAGTTAAAGCTTGACTGAGCACCTGACAGACTTTAGAAAGATATTCAACACTTTGAGAAAGTATAATATGAGGCTCAATCCGAGCCAATATGCCTTTGAGGTCAAATCAGATCAGTTTCTTGGTTACATGATCAATAACCAGGGGATAAAGGCAAATCCAAAAGAGTTTTAGGCAATTCAAAACATGAAAAAGTCAACCTTGGTGAAAGAAGTACAGAGATTAACTAACAAAATAGTCATCTTGAGTCAATTCATGTCCAAGTCGACAAAATAATGTCTGCCATTCTTCAAAATTCTCATAATTGTCTTTGACTTTAGGTAGACCCCTTTAGTGTCTAAAAGCTTTTGAAGAACTTAAATAGTTATTATCCTTTCCACCCATTCTGTCTGAGTCGAGGTCTAACAAAATCTTTTACCTATACTTGGCCACCATGAATCAAGCCATCAGCTTAATTTTAGTCCGAGAAGATGAGGGAAAGCAAAGATTGATGTATTTTGTGAGCAAAGTATTAACAAGGCCAAAACTTAATTACAGCGATATAGAAAAATTAGTTTACATAGTTATCACTTTGGCTAGAAAACTTAGGCTATATTTCTAAGCTCATGTGATTTACGTAATGACCGACTAACCATTGAGACTAGTATTACAAAAGTTAGAAATATTAAAAAGGTTAATCAAATATGTAGTATAGCTCGATGAATTCAAGCTACACATTCTACTTAGGTCAACCTTAAAATCTTAGGTGCTAGCAAACTTCATTGCAGAGCTCACCTCAATACAAGATGAAAGACAACTTGAAAAAAAAATCTCAAAATTTAAAAATTGAAAGGTTTATGTTAATGGTTTGGCGATGAACCATAGTGAAGGGGCTGACCTTATTGTGATCAGCCCGAAAGGATTACAATACCTATACGCTTTAAGATTTAAGTTCAGGGCATCCATCAAAGAGGTGAAATATGAGGCATTGATAGCTAGCTTGAGGTTGGCAATCAAGCTTAACATCTAATATATAACTGTATATAGCAATTTCTAGCTAGTGGTTGGCCAAATAAATGAAAAATTTAGAGCTCGAAAAGACAAAATTTAAAAATATCCGGATAAAGCACTAGCTTTAGTGGTTGGCTTCAAGAAGGCTAAGGTAAAAGAATACCAAGGTCAAAAAATTCACTAACGGACTCTTTATCTAAGTTGGCTTCAGGAATAATAATAGAAAGTCTAGACCAAGTCTTATAGAAGAGCTGACACACAAAAGCACTCAAGACAAGCTTGTATGATATATCACACAAAAAGAAACTTGGATGATGCCAATCAAGGTGTACCTAACCATGAGAGCATTGCTCGAGAATAAAATCCAAGCTAAAGTATTGACGAGAAAGGCCCCTTGGTACACGATCATTAAGAGAAAATTATACAAAAAATCTTTTAATTTGCCTTATTTAAAATGTGTTAAAGAAGAAGAGGTAGACTATGTCTTACGAAAAATTCATAAAAGAATATGTGGAAGCCATATATGACCTTAGCCATTACTTACAAAGTGCTTAGACAAGGCTATTATTGGCCTACTATCAGAAGGGATGCAATCAAACTGATAAAGAGATATGATAAGTGTCAGAGGTTTGCTCACGTGTAACATCACCACTCGATCAAGCTCACCTCTATCATCAGTCTATGGCCCTTCATGCAGTGAGAAA